AACCTATTTATTCCGACTATTCGGAAGATACAGATGATCTAGATAAAGCTAATCTCACCCAGAAGCGCTTTAAAATACCAAAACTGGTGAAGACGTCTAAGGAAATAAATGTGGAAGATGACATTAATGATTTGCTAGCTGAAACAGCTGACAGCATAGAAAACAGAAGACACGACACCAGTTATGCCACTGTGACTGATGTTGATTTTGAGAATGCATTAGAACTTCAGTATGTCACATCTGATAAAGTGGACAATGACATAAACAACAAAATAGTTGGCATAGTAAATACACTCTTTAATGATAATATGCCGGATGAACATATAAGTGAGATGCTTCAGAAATATAATAGACCTGCAAATATTGATATCCATTTGGCTAAAGTTAATGCTGAAATCTAGGCAACACTTAAGCCCTCCACAAGGTCAAAGGACATTAAGCTTCAAAAAGTAGGCGATAGAATTGTTAAGGGTTCCTATGCCATATCTAATCTTGCCGACAAATTAAGGCAGTTACAGAAAACATCTACCGATAAAGATCATACTGAGGTTCTAACTGACAATATAAAAAAGTCCTTAGATGTTCTTACCATGCTAGGTGATGCGATGAAAGAGATAACCCAAACTCGTAGAGGTTCTCTAAAATCTGATTTCAATCCGAAAATCAAATCTATCTGTAATTACGGTAATAATTCTAAAGTGGGTGCATCACAACTATTATTTGGAGAAGATATCCACAAGAGGGTGAAAGAATTAAAAGATACTCATTTAGCCTTAGGTTCAGGCCCAGCTTCCACTAGTGGTCATTATACACAATACAGTCAGTATGGTAGAAATGTACACAATGTGGGTAAAACTTTTGGTAGATCTGCTATCAGCACGAATAGTGGTAATCCTTTTTAAGCTATGGCAGGAGGAGGCCCCAAAGAGGGAGACAGAGATACAGCCTACCTCAGAACCAAAAGAAATAAAAATGAAAATGGTGAGTGCCCTGGATAATATTTCCTCATTTGTTCAATGGGAGGAATTTCTCAATATTTTAAACAACTCCCTGCCTATAGTTTCAGTGCAATATAGGGCAGGTAAATTGAAAGAGAATTTAGCTTTTTGGAAAACTATGACTTCAGATATTAATATTCTGGGGAATATATGTGCTAGTAAGATTGAGTTTGACTTTGAGCCTGTACAGTTAGGTACAATATATCCTTACAAGTTTGCAACACAAAAACATAATGCTGTGTGGGCTCAGATTGATGAGATGTTAAGATATCATGGCCCTTATTCACGAAAACCTAAACTAAGATACAATCGAAATTTTAAGAAATACTAAAATTCGATTGGCTGACCAGTAAAATCAATTTGCATATATCCAATTTGCATATTGGTCAGCCAATCGAATTGCAGTATTTCTTAAAATTTCGATTGTATCTTAGTTTAAGTTTTCGTGAATAAGGGCCCATATCATAGAGGACACTGAACACGAAACTGGTCAGTTCATCTCAAATATTTTTACGAGAGATAAGAAAGATGGTAGTCTAAGAGTTATATTGGATTTGAAAAAATTAAATGATGATGTGTCTTATTACCATTTCAAAATGGATACACTGCAACATGCCTTAGATTTGATCAAGCCTAACTGCTACATGGCATCTATTGATTGGAAACAATCTTATTATGCTGTTAATATTAAAAAATCTTACAGGAAATATTTGAAATTTGAATGGAATAATAGTCTCTTTCAATTTACCTGTGTACCGAATGGTCTTGGCTCCGTGCCAAGATGGTTCACTAAATTGACAAAGGTACTGTTTTCTCATCTAAGAGAAATGGGACACTTAAATACATCTTTTATTGACGACTGTTTACTAATATGCGATAATGTTGAGGATTCTATTGCCAGACACTTCAATTGTCACCAGTCCACTATTGTAAGGTTGGTGGAACGTGTTCGAGTTACTGGGTCAACACGTGACCGTCAACGTCCTGGTCCACAACGCGTTACAACCCAGGCTCAAGACCGCTACATCCTGGTCACTCATCTGCGTGACAGATTCCGCCCAGCGACTCGAACAGGTGCAGCAGTCGTCGGAAGACAAGGACCAGTAAGTGCCAACACCGTAAGACGTCATCTAAGAGAAGTAGGACTCCGTGCACGACGACCTTATGTTGGAGCTATCCTCAGTGATCATCGCCGTCAGCGGCGTTTGATATGGGCTCAAGGACACCAGACATGGAGAAGAGTAGACTGGCAAAGTGTACTCTTCAGTGATGAGAGTCGCTTTCATCTTTATCACGCTGATGGCCGTCAACGTGTGTGGAGACGTCTTAGGGAACGTCTTGCAGACTGCTGCGTCTTCGAAACGAATCGATGGGGTGGGGGGAGTGTAATGGTGTGGGGAGGCTCACATTTCATCACCGGACCGCCTTACACATTTGCAGGAGTCGCGTTAATGCTGTAGCCTACTGTGATGGAGTCTTGCAACCAATTGTTATTCCGATGTTTCGAGCGCACCCACCACTTCAGCACTTCCAACAGGATAATGCACGTCCGCATTCCGCCCGTTTTAATATGGACTACCTGGCTGCTAACTGGCCAGCCATGTCTCCAGACATGGCACCGATAGAACATGTCTGGGATGAGATTGGACGCCGTCTGTATCGGAGACAACAGATGCACACCATTGCTGCTTTAGAAGCTGCTCTTGTCCAAGAATGGAACAATTTGCCCCAGGCCTTCTTTCAAACTTTGGTAAATTCCATGCGACGTCGCTGCACAGCGTGCGTAAGAGCCCGTGGAGGACACACGCGCTACTGACATCTGTGTCGTACTTCTGACTTTGTACCGTTGATTACAGATTAAACATCCATAAGTGTACAAATGTGTTGTTATTGATGTGTTCCCATTTGAATATTGTTCACAATAAGAAGCAAAATAAATAAGATAGGTTTACAGAATCATTTTGTTATACGAAAAACTAAGTGATGCGTTTTCCATGGCGCTCAGTATATATATTGTTTAGTTTAGAAGGAATGAAAGGGGGTTTGAGCAAGTCCTTACTGCAATACCGTCTCCTCCGGGGGACAGCGTCTCTTATTTCGAATTCTAACAGCCAAGGGTTCGTTTACGTACACTGCAATATGTATACGGATCCTACCCGAACGAATAGACATTGCAGGGGCATCCATCCCGCACCACTGACAAGGGAAAACGATGCCGGAAAGTCCAAAGGAATCAGAGAATTTCTTGTTGTCGAGCCATTGTCTTGGACACCGAGCGACCGCGGCTCCAGGTTTAGAAGGAACCCATGGTATCTAATTAAAATACAACAACATAAAATTAAATCGAAATTGTCGAAACTAGAATTAAGCTAGAATGTCAAATGTTCTATGAACGTTATCAGGGTAACATGGCCGTCGGTACACGGATTTATTAGAAATTCTAGTATTACGTAAGCTCAATTTAGTGTAATTGAGAGTCTTTATATTACCATACCTTATCACAAGTTTCATGGATAAAACGCCGTGACGTAGTTTTAGTCCTTCTGCTCATATTCCTTTCTATATTTCTATGAACTGGGGGACTAAAATCACGTAATAAATTTATGAAGCTTTTCCGGTAACATTAATGTTGTCGTATAGTCTCTCTTTGTGTCAATAAATGATTACCTGTAGAGTTACTCCCCTTTGTTGCAAACATACGGGGGGTACGGGGGTACTCGATTGAACATTCCGGAATTGAATTCTCTCAATCACAAAATTAGTGACAATCGAGTGAAAATGTGTATTTCGGCTACAACGCATCCATCGACTTCGACTAGATAAGTAAATATCTCAACCAACCATGTAGTCGAAACATATTCGTTGTGTTTAATTACGTCACGATTCTACTCACTCCACCTCCGTGGACTCGATTGCAATTCTGTCAATTCTGACATTTAGTTCAACCAGTGGTCGTGACCAGCCGTACCATGCGATAAAGCACGGTCGGAGTTCAAAGATGGCTGACAAAACTGACACTTGAGAAGATTTTCTGAAAAATATAATAAAATTGCCGATTACCGTTGCGTCTTTACACCTTGGTCGGTATTATAGGGTCCATGTTAACACCTGAAAGTTAGTGAATCATGGGCATGTATATAGTTGTTAAATTTGATTTTTTTCGTCTTTTATAGATGAATTTTACAGATTAGGGTCTTCTTATTCGAATATATAAGCACACGACAAAAAACTGTACGTGTGAAATGATCTTGGTTGGGTGACATAAATCCAATGAAAAATATTCTGATATTGACTAATCCTATTTGTAACCTATTTTAAGCTTGCTTTCACATCGCCGTATGGAAAATTAACCAGTTTTTAAAAATACATGTGTAAATAAAAGAAAATATAGCAGGCGGAACAACTGATATGGTCGCCACCATTTTGAATAGTCAATGGCTCGGGCCATTGCGTTTGGGTGCTGGTTCAGACTGTAGTCGCGACCATAGTCTACATCCGAAGGTCGCCCTAGTGGCAATAAATGGACTCAGACTACCAATTATTTACCCATTGACTTCTATGTTAAATGACCGTAACATCACAGGCTGAACCTTTTTGCTCAACATACCGTTGGTTCCAATCTTTATAGGCACAGTGGGGACCACATTTTGCAATCTCCTCATCATAATTTTGTAGGGAGTTGATCGTTTAGATTTTTATTGCTACGGGGATTTGATGTTGACTGGGGTGAAAATCTCACTTCCGACACAATGATTGCTCTGCAGAAAGACACTTTACTCCGCTGTAAAATCATCTGTATTGCCCAAAGCTGCTATGAAATTGCAAATTTGACCCCTTTCCTCCAATTCTAGACCAAAAAGTCAACCCAAAAATGCAGGAAGTGGGGAGAAAAAAATTAAGGGAAAAATTGTCTATTTAACTCGCACTACTGTATTCGCCATCATGAAATAAGGAGAAATAATTACTAGTCTGAGTCCAAATGATTATCTGTAGAGTTACCCCCCTTTGTTGCAAACAGAAGAAGTAAAATGGTCATTTTGAAATTCTAGCGCCTTATCGTTGTGTATTTGAATGTTGTATATTATTAAAGTTGGTAGATCTAATGTTTATAGTGGTATGTCCCCACATGTATTTATAGTTTTATATTTATAGTATACGCCTATTTGTTGTGATAGATTGCTATTGATAATGGATTGCTATTGGGGGGAAAATCAAATAAAATTTCAATGAATATTTATATAATGTAAACAGAATGACTGATTTAGTCTACCAAACTGTATATTTAGACCACATGATAAACTGTTTAAATTCCAGAAATAGACGAAAATCGTTCTGCCTATAGAAGCATGTGGTCGGCTAATTTGGAGGTAAGAATTATACATTTCATAAATGAGCATAGGCCTAATAATGACAAACTAAAGTTTCTGAGAGTTTTCACAGTATTATAAATAATCTAGATACCATTAAAAAAACCATATATTTTCAAGGTTTCCGTCAATACCTTTGATGATGACTTTGTTGACACTGCTTCCTCTGATGAAGACATTTGCCTTTCCTAATTAAGTTAGGTTTGGGTTGATTGGGTCAATAACATTTCGTTCGTTCGTTTCTGGGGTTTTACGTCCACTTCCACCTAAGGTGATATCGTAGACAAGTCAATAACATGACATAGATCTATGTTTTAAATGACTCTTAAAATGAAGGAAGTGGGCAGTAATTAATGTATCACTGTTACAAGCAGAGATCAAGAGGAAACTTAGCATTGTGGGCATATTGTACTGCTGTTACTGATTTTATAAGGTTATTGGTCACATCTGCTGTTCATAAGTTCATTTACCACCTAAACTTTCATTCTTAACTTAGTGGTTGTAAATAAATCCTATGATCATTCCCTACATTTTACACATTGTTCCAATGTCGCACCTTTCATGTTAATTAAATTTCTAATTACTGTGTGAACCATGGTCAATTATAAACGGATTTCTTCGATTGTGAACAAACTACTGAATAATTGTTATTAAAAACTTGCCTATGTGTTTGAAATCACCTCCGGTTGAATAAAATCCATTGCACAATTAAATATTCAAACCAAAACAAAAGTTCTCTCTTGAAAAGTCAATGTTTTTGCTTGTATTTTCGACAGTGTCCATCACAACATTACACATGTCATGTCATGAGCTAAACCATCATAATATGTTGAAAGGGGGTAAAGGTTGAGTCACGTGTGTTGTAATCACAACAGCGCACGACCGTTTCGATTTTTTGAGTTTGGGCAACACAATAGCAACTGAGACAAAGCCATTGATTTGGAAACAATTGATTGTAAGTCTACTAAATTTTATTCACAATGAATATATCACCAATTATACGAATACTCGTAAATATAATATTGTTTTTCACCCCTGTATATATACATGTAATTGTATATTGGATACATTGCCTTGTGAATTTCAAAAGAAAGCCGGGAATTTACAAATAATTGTGTTACCGATCACGTACGATTATAAATTTTTCTAAACAGTTTTTTGCACACCGGAAATAATATTCAGAGCGAAATAGAAAGAAACTGAACTATCTGCCGATAATTAAACCGGTGTGCGGTATGATTAATTGTTGGTAATAATTTTTGGTATTTATATAAAAAAAAAATAACGTTATAGGCCTATACCTATTCAATCAATGATTCAATGGCCTCGGGCTGAGGTTAATTGACAGGACTGCTTAAGTTCATCAGGAAATATTAAAAATATTCAAGGGTGAAATTAATTCAAGGTCAGTAAAACAAATATAGTTCAAAAGAAATAATCCCACCAAACTCTCTAACCAAATAATTATAATACAAGAGGGAAACAAAATACCGAAATATGGGCGTATTTATGTTTTTAAACGCCCAAACTCATTACTGGGTTCCGAGAGGAATAGCTTATTCATACACAACCGTTACGACAGACAAGCCATGCTTTGACCCCCCCTATACGAAATGATATATCCCAATAAGTGACGTAATTAGCCTTCATTTTGGTTATTTCTCGGTGTCAAAGTTTGTGATGAGTTCAATTTTACAAGAGAGAACTTTTTTATTCGCTAGGACATATAGTTGTACAATGGATTTTATATAACCGGAAGTAATTTCAAACACACAGGTAAGTTTATAATAACCAAAGTATAGTAGTTTGTTCATAATCGAAGAAATCCGTTTATTATTTACCACGGTTCACACAGTAGGGGTCATTCGGTGCAAACCAGCGTTTTTCTCTTCTTTAATACACTGACCACTAGAAATTTCATTCTTAAGTTGATGATAATGATTTCTGATATCATTCCATACAATTTAGGCCTGGTTTCTCACTCGCACCTTTCATGTTGATTAAAATTTTGATTATCGATTGGGGTCCAGTGATATTTTCGTTATTTTTGAGATTATGTCATCCTTTTAGCTAAAACTTCATTAATTTTATGTCTCATATTTTTGCTCCTAGCAGTATAAAAAAATGTCCATGTAGTTTTGTGTAATATACCTAGCTGGAGTAGATCACGAGACAATGGAAAAATAGTTTTGAGTAAAATTGAAAATTTTTGACCTTTGACCTCTTCTTAAGTGGCCTTTCCACCAAAAATCCCATTTTTAAGTTAAATTTCTTAATTCAAGGCACATTCCTCTATCAAATGCCATTGAAGTGGAACTTGCACCTTCCATGTTGAATAAACCAATTTTAGGGGGTATAGATGGTTCCTCCTACCACACCCACCACTGGCGCAACTTAAGAATTGGGTTTCTGGGGTCTCCTAACCTCGCCATACCCCACTAGCATCCCAAACCTTCCGCACCTTCCATGTTGAACAAAACCCACCTAGCTCCCGGACTATTGGTTTGAATGACAGATACGATGTACGGCTTTTTTAACTTCCGGTTTCACGGATGATCGCCCCGAACTGGTAGATCAAGGGTCACACAGGCATCTGAGACAGTACGTCAGACAGTGGGAACACACGGAAGACTCATCAGTACCGATACAGTGCGCCGACATCCATTGCCGTAGACCTTATTGTGGACCGATCCTCATCCCCTTGCCATCGATGTGAACGTCTACAGTTTGCCCAGCAACAGCAGAACTGGCGACACAGGCAATGGAGAACTGTTCTGTTCACAGATGAGAGTCGGTATTGCTTATCAACTGCCGATGGCAGGACCAGAATATGGCGTCAACGTGGTCAGCGTTATTCTGACCAATGTGCCATGGAACGAGACTCATGGGGAGGTCCAAGCTTAATGGTTTGGGGTGGAATTGGCCTGAACCAGAGAGTGGATCCCGTGGTGTTCCAAAATCTTGGTCCAGGGAGAGGAGGCGGCATCACAGCAGTGCGCTACATCGATCAAGCTCTCAGACCCCACGTCATACCACATTTCGTACGTCATCGAAACAACGTTTTCCAGCATGACAACGCCCGTGCCCACATCGCCAGAGTTACTCAGGACTTTCTAAAGCAGAACGGTGTCAAGGTTATTTGCTGGCCAGCACTTAGTCGGGACTTAAACTCGATTGAACATCTTTGGGATGAAATTCAGAGGAGACTTAATAACGTCGTACCGAGACCAAACACAGCCGATGGATTGCCCCAGGCTTTTCTGAGAGTATGGTTTCAGGTGCCAATGGCGTTCATCAATCGTCAGTTCCACTCCATGTACAGACGCTTCACTGCTGTTATTGACACTCGCTTTGGACACACCTTCTCATAATTATGTCTTGGAATTGTGATGAATTAATCACAAATGTTTCAACATACTGTTCACAAAAAATTACTTTGATCCATTTAGTAAGTCGTTTTCTAGAATGATTTGATTAAAGTGCCTCTCTGATTTTGAAATCATACTGACTTTTTTTTTTGCTGTTTAGTATATTTTTGAACAGTTATAGCAGCTCTTTATCTGAGTCTTACATGTACATAATGTATCTTTAATTAAATGTTAAAAAAATCAATCTGAGTACAGTCATATTAGTGTGGATTAAGTCGTGAGAAATTTGATATTTTACTGACAAATGCAAATGGCGCATCAGGCCTTAAATTTCTAATTACTCTTTTATTCCAGAGATGTAGACAGAAAAGGAGTGATAAAGGTAAGTAGATTCCATGTAAAAAAATATTACTTTGTAAGCTTACTATTTCTTCAACTCACTTTGTTTTGGCATTGACGATTTAAGAATAATAATGTAAATTTTAGGACTGTTACTAACAAAGTATATTGTTTATGTTCAGGATTAATACACATAACAGCGTCCCCGTTTAATGTGGGCGTATAATAATTATGTTGTTTTTATCGGAAGTCAAGAAACTTATGACAAAATGCGGAGTCGGTGTTACGTTAGCATGTTTTTCTATATTATGTCTCCAAAACACATTTGATTAAAAAAGTTGCCTATAACTAGGCCTGCAGTCAAAATTTCTAGCGTGAAGTTCCGCTACAACGTCCTCCCTAATAAACAAACTATACATTTTTTGAAAACGAATAACACCAGGAACACAAATCAAGAGAGTTCAAGCAAAAAAGTTTGCACTACATGTAACTCGATTTAGGGCCAGATGAAAATTGTGATAATTGTCAAGTAAATGCTATATTTATACTAATAATTGTGAAGTTGACATAAAATTAAATATTGGCGAAAACACCCGATGCCTTCATCCTATGCAAAGAATATGCTATTGGTTAAATTTTTATTTAAAGCAAAATGCTGAACACATAATGGACAGGGGAACATACAGAATTTCGGAAATCCATTTATGGTAAAAGGAGTTATCTCCCTTTATAGAAAATATCAATAATTATTGATAACAGTATTTTGTTTAAGAAATTATTCGATAAACTCAATAGGATTTAACTACAGACAAGGGCCTATATAAGTTCAACTTTGTTCAGATAGGATTTGAGGCTAAAGGTCTAACAAATATTTAACCTGAAACATAGCATCTGCAGATATTTAGTTTTCTCACTAAAATAGATAAGACCAAAACTAAATAATACTGTAATTAATGGGAGTGACAATATTGTAATGAAGAGAAATTAAATCAAATGGAGTTTAATGTCTTACTGTTCTGCACCAACCCGTATAATGAAGATGAGCATATGTCATACATTATAGGGGTGGGGGTTGGATGGCCGAATGGTTAGCGTGCGCGCGCTGTATCATAAAGTCTGTCATTGAGTCAACTGGTGTGGTTTCGATTCCCCGGTTCTACGTGACAAGGAGTAGGGTCGCCTGTCCAACCTCGTGGGTTTTCTCCGGGTACTCCGGTTTCCTCCCACTGCTAAAGACCCTTACGCGCAAGCGAATTATTGAAATAAAATTAAAACCATATGTTAGTCCCGAAATGACCTAGTTTGTGTCGAGTGGATGTTAAACCCCTTTTCTCTCTCTCTGTCATACATTATAGTTCGGTGGGGAATTGTACATGTACAGCTAGTATGTAAGTGTCATCATCAGTGTGCAAGGGAGCCGCGGTGACTCAGTAAAGGGCTGGCTAACGTACCGGGCGGCCCAGGGTTTGATCCAAACCCGGCATGGTTCCCCCTTGTCCGTGATTCACTAAACAGGAGATCCATGTGTTGACCTAGACAATTCTCCAAAATTTCCAGCATTGTTTCCCATTTTCAGTGCTGCAGGAAATGGGGGGGGGGGTGGGCGGCTGTGATTGGCAGCGTCTAGTTATTAGGATGGAATATAAAACTGAGGTCCCATGCACATGTTGACATGCACGTAAAAAAACTTTGAATTCGAAATAAAGAGTAGACTGTAACGTTGCTGTTTGGTCCAAATTCCCCCTACAGCATTATGTACGACGAGCGTATGTACATCTTCATTATCCGGGTTGTTTTTTTCTCTCTTCATTACAATTGCCACTCCCTTACAGTATTATTTAGGTTTTGCCATATATCTATTTTAGTGAGAAAATTACATAAAGATGCATTGTTTCAATTCAAATATTGAGCCCCAAATCTAACCTGAACTATTAAAAGTTTACAGATATATTAGTATTAGTAGAAATACTGGTTTGGGAGAACTTATATGCCCCCCCCCCCCCCGACCCCCACACCTCCCAGATTCGTTGAACCGTACATTTTTTCAGGCAATGTGTTTCAGTTTTCGAGCACAAGCATAAGAGAAATGAAATGGGGTTTAACGTCCTACTGTTCGGTTCCTATACTGGGCTAATGAAGACAGGTAAACGTCATACGGTGTGCTATGAGGGAAATTTTTGCCCGGGCAGCGGCACTATCGCCTACTCTTATATCGAATTCCAACTGCCAAGGGATCTTTTACGTGCATTCCAATGTATACACGGGACCTCGGTTTTTCGTCTCATCCAAAGGACTAGACAGCTGTCCTTGTCAGGCCCTCCGTTCTGCATCACTGACAATGGGGAACCAGCATAAGAGAATAGAGAATGCGACCATATCTCATAGAAATATAATTGTGTAATTAATAAAATTAAACAACCATATTACAGATTTGTGGAAAATTCGTTTTAGTTAATGATTGATTCATTCAGAAAATTTGGGTGACACATTTGTCGGGCAAATAGGCCCAGCCCCCCACCCCCAAGGCCCCATCCTCCTACTCCCAACTCCCAACAGAGATTGGCCCCCTACACCCATGTAGCTCCTTACCTGTTCTTCAATCCGATTCAGTTTGTTGAATCGAATATTGTTTAAAACTATTGTTTTCCCTCCCATCTGAACGACTGGGCATTATCCTTCCAGCCCACTCCCATCCCGTACCACTGACAGGGTGAAACCACACCGGGGTTGCCTTATACATGTACATATCTAATCTGTGTAAGTGTAATAAATGTGAAAATGAAACAAAAAGACGGTTTAAGAAACCGAACTTGATGTTTATACATGTAGTGACAGTGATGATGATAACGACTAACTTTGATGACATTTAAAGTGCAGAGTAACTGCGTAATTTTGATTTTCAATAATTGTTTTACTTCAATAAATAATTAGTTTTTGTCGACCCAATTTTAGATATGGTTTCAGTTTAAATGTTTGTAATTCGGCCTCAAATATCTTAACTAGAGGTTTACAGCTACCTGTAGTAACAATAACGTAGGGTCTAATTGAAAGGGTGGGGGTTTATGTTTTAGTGGAAAAAATCAAGTGGTTTCAAACTACGGACATTACTTATAGACATATTGCTCAACCAATGTCAAACATATCTCCTTGCTCATCAGACTGGGTGCTCCGCCAATAATTTCTGGGTAAACACCCGCTCACCCACCCGTTAACCGTTAATGGATTTCCAAAATTCTGTATGTTCCCTTGTCCATTATGTTATCTTAATTTTGGTTTAAATCAAAGTTTAACCAATAGCATATTCTTTGCCGAGGATGAAAGAATTGTGTGTTTTCGCCAATATTTAATTTTATGTCAACTTTACAATTGTTAGTATAAACATAGCATTTACTTGACAATTATCACAATTTTCATCTGGTCCTAAATCGAGTTAGTGCAAACTTTTTTGCTTGGAACTCTCTGGAATTGTGTTCTTGGTGTTATGAGTTTTCCAAAAATGTACAGTTTGTTTATTAGGGAGGACCTTGTAGCGGAATTGTGTTTCTAATAAAGCTAGAAATTTTGGCTGCATTTATATCTTAAGTTCGTGTTAGACAATTTATTTGATCAAATGTGTTTTGGAGACATGTTGTAGCTTTACACCCATCAAATCTGCTTTTTTGAGATGTTTGCATTAAAATTTCATTATCTGTATTTCACAATTAGACCTCGACAACCCACTACAGGAAACAGCTGCCAGGTTACTAGTATGTGGGATGTCAATTAGACATATTGTATGACAATTGGGCCACCATCCCTCGACAATTCGTCAATTATTGTTCAAACATCAACATACTAAAGACAGATAGAACCACCAACATTCTGGTGGGCATTGCACCTCACACAATCGTAAATTGCTCAGATCAACTGGATATGACGCTAGGAGACTATCAATTATCCTCTCTTATCACATGACCATAGGGCGTGTGGTCGATCGCTTTATCATTGGAACATGTCATCATAGCGATAAATACACTGCTCAGATGTGAGCCGATTTCGGACATTCTTAGGTGTAAAATTACTAAAATCCGTCAGTGCAGAATCTCGACAATTTGGATCATAAATGGAACATGGGTTCAGATTCATTGTCCCTGTCAGACAATGAATATGAGAGGTGATGCGGGTGAGGGTAGGCTATATTGCATGATAACATGTCCCTATATTTGAAACAGGAAGTGTTTATTCCCTAACCATTTATAATGCACTATTTACAAAGTGTGTGATATGTTTGTGGATGTTATTATTAGACAGTATGTACTATGTATTATAATGTAGACATACCATAGTATGTACTATGTGGACATGATAGTATGTACTATGTAATATACCATAGTATTATAATGTAGACATATCATAGTATGTACTATGTATTATAATGTGGACATGATAGTATGTACTATGTATTATACCATAGTATTATAATGTAGACATATCATAGTATGTACTATGTATTATAATGTGGACATGATAGTATGTACTATGTATTATACCATAGTATTATAATGTAGACATATCATAGTATGTACTATGTATTATAATGTAGACATATAATAGTATGTACTATGTATTATAATCCACCATCTATATGATTTGTTTGATTTGGTTTAGATGCTGATGAAAAGTTTGCTAGATGTCACACATGTGGGCGTGACTTCACGTGTCCCTGCACATCTCCACCTCCAGACGAATTATCTACAAATCAACTTGATGTAAGTATATAGGTCGGTTGTATCAGATTTGGTCATTTGGACCTAGATTTGAAACAACAATTATCATTTTGACATGAATTTATGGTATAGTCAAATGTATACATATGTGGATATCTGAATCGTTAAAATATAGTCTGGCAGCAGGTCGTCAAACCTGGAAATATAGTCCACCTAATGTCTGTTGATGGGTTATATGTCTTCAGTATGTGTAGATTTCAGAATCCGGATGATGCCACCATGGCACGCTTGGTGAAATTGAAATATTCAAGATGGGCGCCATGAGGCATTTTCTGGTTTTTAAGTGGGGTAAAATATGTGACAGATTATCTCGGACTTTCAAGGTGGTTTCTATAAGAATTTGACCCACTAAATCCAATAGACTTGGTATTCCTCCTTAAAGTGACGGCTAATTCCGCTAAGGGGTCAAATTCAAAATGGTGGCTTAATTTGGCAGGAAACTTATAAAGTTCCCTAAAAATGTGTGTAATATTTTAAAATATAGGTTTTCGATGTATTATATATCTAAAACTACACATATTGAAGATATATAATACACCAAAAACCTATATTTCAATATATTGCTAGTTTCCAGCCAAAATAAGTCACCATTTTAAATTTGGTCCCCTAGCGGAATTGGCCATCACATTTGGGAGAAATGGCCAAGCTCATTGAATTCAGCGGATCGCATTCTTGTAAAACCCATCTTCAAACCAAGATCTGAGAGAATCTGTCACATATTTTACACCACTAAACCAGAAAATGTCTCATGGTGGCCATCTTGAATTGTTTAATTTCACCAAGGGTGTCAGGGTGGCATCATCCAGATTCTGAATACACATATTGAAGATATATAATCCACCTACAAACATTAGGTGGACTATATTCCCACGTCAAGGCTTTAAATGGGGTTTGGCAACTGGACTAAATACGCACACCTAATTATAATGCATAATGATTTAATCCAATAGGGACGTGGTGTGATATAGAGTATGGTGTGATATAGAGTATGGTGTGTGATATAGAGTATGCTGTGATATAGAGTATGCTGTGATATAGAGTATGGTGCGATATAGAGTATGGTGCGATATAGAGTATGATGCGATATAGAGTATGATGCGAGTATGATGTGATATAGAATATGGTGTGATATAGAGTATGATGTGATATACAATGTAGTATCATGTGATATAGAATATGGTGTGATATAGAAATGAAATGAAATGAAATGGGGTTTAACGTCCTGCTGTTCTGCTCCTATACTGGGCTAATGAAGACGGGCATGCGCCATACTGTGTGCTATGAGGGAAATTTTGCCCGGGCAGCGGCACTATCGCCTACTCTTATATCGAATTCCAACTGCCAAGGGATCTTTTACGTGCATTCCGATGTATACACTGGACCTCAGTTTTTCTTATCATCCGAAGGACTAGACAGCTGTCCTTGTCAGGCCCTCCGTTCTGCACCACTGACAAGGGGAAACCACGTCGAAAAATCGGTCATTGCAGGGATCGAACACCCGACCTCCAGGCTAGCGAGCCAGCGTCTTAACCACCCAGCCACCGTGGCTCCCTGGTGTGATATAGAGCATGATGTGATATAGTATCATGTGATGTAGAATATGATCTGTTATAGATATAGAATATGCTGTGGTGGCAACTTATTCTTAATTAATGATTTGATTAAATTACCTTGTATTCTGTATTACAGAATCCATACACAGACCATTCTACAACAGGTAAATATCAAGTATATATTTTAACATAAGACTTGTGTTGTTATTAAAACATTTGAATATTTAATCCATGTGTAAAGAATACTGAATATTAATCTAAATAGAAATGACGGGTATCAATATGTAGAACAATTGTCGTCTTTCACTCGATAACGTTGTTTTATTTATGTCCGTTTCTTAACACTTGGAAGTCTTTCCTACTGAAATATTTTGTTGATGAGATGTGAAACCCGCATTCCGTTCCTTTATTTAGAAGTTGATACTCACCAAGCAAGAGTTGTTCATCAGGATGATAAAACCACCACTAATGACATTAAAAAGAGATTTATTGGTTGTATTGAGCCACTGCCTTTAATGATTTTACTGTATTCAAAGGAAATCATCACAGAAACAGAAATGGTAAGTTGTAGTTTTAATGGTTTAAAATCATTTATATCGAATACTTGATAGTTTAGTCTTTTTACTAATTCGAGTCTGTGATACCGTTTAGAAGATGGGTGACTATATTCTGTACCAGTATGTAGGTTATTAAATCTGTTGACGCACGTGCTTTAAATAAAGAGCAGTGTTCGTATCCAAGGTGATCAGGCAAACAAAAACCCATATTTTGGAAAAAACGCCCCAGCGTCTGTTCTGATTGAAATGTTATTATATGAAGCCACAAGATGAATATTAAGTAGTCGTTTTAAATAAATTTCGTATCTACAGGAGATAGTTCGAACAAGGATGAATCTTAGGGGTAGAACGGCTGCAGCAGGTCATCTATGGGACATATTGTCCCAGAAAGGAGGAGAAGATACAGGCTTGAAATGGGTTTCACCTTTAATTGAATGTTTACACCATAACAATATAAAATTAGGTAAACTGGCTGAATATATCCAGTCAAAATACAAAGGTAAGTGTTTGTATACTATTGCATACCCCCCCCTCTCTCTCTCTCTCTCTCTCTCTCTCTCTCTCATTGTTAACCGGCATTCGTTTCATCTTTTCATCGTTTATTGTGAAACAAAGTTGTGACTTTATTTTTTAGAATCAGCGCCAATAGAGGAAATAATATATCACCACAGAAGGGTAATCCCAGAAGTGGAAAGTAGACAGGATTATCTACAAGGTTAGTTTATTAAGAGCGTGTCCGCAAGAACACCATGCAGAAGGTGCCAAGGCTCCAATCACAGATTATGACCAAATTTGGTTTTGGGATAGTCCCAAAACACATTAATGTGCAATATGAGATAAATCTTTCAATTTCTGACTGAGAAAATTAAAAAAACATTTTTCATATGGTGAAATTGCCAAAATCCGTCTTTTCCCAAATACCAACTTTGACAAGTCCCCACACCTTTACTGTACGTAGCAGCAAGACCAAACTCACACAGATTGTAGATGACCTAGTGCTGTAATCACAAAATTAATTTCAGACAATTCTGGCAAACAAGATCTGTACGCATAGTAGATAAAAAACCCTAACAATTTGTTTTTTCTTTTCATTCAAATGGTGTTTACTACGAGCCCTAAAATACATTAGTATCTGTTTAATAAAAATGTCTTGAAAAAATACTTTAAAAGGCATGTAATCCTTCAGGGTTCATCTGGTGCCGACGGGAATTGGTTTCCGCAGTTGTCCACGAGCTTCCATTATGGAGTATAGACGTGCTCAATGAAATGATCTTAACAAAACATATCCATCACTCTCAAATAGACATTACTTTAAATAAAATAATCCAAACAAAAATGAAAAATTCACCTAAAAGTGAGATTCGAACCACCAACTGCATGATTGCCCCCAACCCACCCCCTCACTGAGTTGCTTGTCCCAGGGCCCCAAGGTCCATGTCGTGGCCCTGTTCAGGTGGATTGCCTAGGGCCTCTCTTATTCTAAATCCAGCCCTGAAGGTGTAGCTGATGGCGTCTAGATAACTTCCACTGTTTCACCAATGTAACTCTTTTCAAGTAGTAGCACTACTAATGATACTGAAACTTCCCTTGATAATCCTGTTAGTACTGATATAAGTCTGATTTTTGAAGATCATACAATTAATGATCCAACAATGCATAAGGGCGACCTCAGCAGCCAGTTTATTGACTCTGATATAGCCCTCGATTCATTACAATCCATCGATGATCCCTCTTGTTTCCACATTATTTTCAACCAAATGTAAATGTTTTAAAATAGGTCATTTAAATATGAATAGACTTTTTGGTAAAATTGATGAAGTAAGGGATTTAATTTTGCAAGATAATGAAAATTTTAATGCCATGGGCTTCTCTGAAACATTTTTTATACGCCCATATTGAAATGTGGTCGTATATTGTCGTCGCTCCATCCGTCCGTCCGTCCCTCCAGCGTCCAGAATTGCTCTATTATTTGGGGGAATGCTACCAAAAGTAGATTAGACATTCTTTTAAAATTACAAAAGAGGTCAATTTTGAACCAAGTGGTTTCTGTCCCCCAAAATAAATTACCCTCCCCCATACAATGGTAATTGTATACACATATTTAGAGATGTGCAGTGGAATTAAAAAGTAATGTTTTTACTAAGCTCTAAGAAAATCATCAACGTGAACTTACTTCCCGCCAATTGTACCCCCCCCCCCTTCCATACACGCACACCTGCTACCCCCATCCCACCTCCCCACAAATGAAAACAGCTGTCCGGGGGCATCATAAACACTTATTTAAAGTCCTAGAAATTTATGTTTTATTAATATACTATGTCAACATAATGACACCCCCCCCCCCCCACACACACACACCTGCTATCCCCACCCCACCTCCACACAAATCAAAACAGTTGTCCAGGGGCATCATAAACACTTATTTATAGATGGGCAGTCTTAGAAATTTATGTTTTATTAATATATTATATTATGTCAACATAATGACATCCCCCCCCCCCCCCATTGTAGTCTTTTGACCCCCTATATCTCAAAAACGCTCACTCAAACGCCAGATTTGGAATCTACGCAAAAAACTGGTCTAGAAAAACTTGGTCTCATAAATTCACAGCTCGGGTGGCGATCCCCCCCCCTTCAGCCACCGGACTATTAAAACTATCCTGACAATAATCTCCATACCGGAAATATTCAAAAAATTAAGAAAAAGGTTTAAAAAAATGGCGCTCTTGCGAAAAACTTGATATCCCTGTCAGATATTAGCGGACCAAAAGAACTAAAATGTCTTGGTATAGCCCCATTAATGGACTATCATAGTATTTCCGTTTTGGAGCCTTTTGAGAAGCCCTTTTCTCGAAAACGACACCTACGATTTTTCTTAAACTTTTTTTACTCCGAGCCCTATCGGTGGTCTATTGCGTGAATCCAAAATGCATTGAAATAATATAAATGATTCACAAAAAGAGCCTCAATTTTTGAAAAAAGTAGAAAAGTCCTTAAATGACTGAAAATGCTCTTCTATTTTTCTTTGTTTTGAAAACAGCTCAATGGATGTTGGTACAGAAAGTCAGGTATCCAAAGAACTCGTTAAAACTATCGCGACAATGATAAAAAAAAAACGGATGTAGTCGAAAAAATATGCGATATTTTAAAAAAAAAAAAACTTAAAAAGTAAAAAAAAAATGGTGATCTTGGAAAAAAGTGATTACCACGCCAGATTTCACCGAATAATGGACGTTCTTATGACATCCAAATGATACAAATTCGATGCTTAAGGCAATAGATTATGGGATGCTGAAAATCTAGTATTTTCCTTTTTAGAGCCTATTCAGATGCTTTTATCTCGAAAACTACCATAATTTTTTTTTCTTAAACTTCTGTTACTTAGGTTCCTAACGGTGGTTTAGGGTGTGAATGTAAATCTAAAAGGCTCAATATAGTATAAATGGTCCAAAAAGGGCCCCAATCTTTGAAAAAAGTCGAAAAATCGCTATGTGATTGAAAACGCTTGTAATGATATAAGGGAGATAACTATTCCTAACAAGATGGGCTCAGACTAGCAATTATTTGCTAAATATTGTTAAATATCTGATTTTTTGAGAAGAAAAAAAATTTCTCCGTCGGGTGTCATTGAATCAAAACAACTAAATTATCGTTTGGTAGCTGATGTGGCTAGATGGATGCAGAACACTATTAATTTTGCATATCTCGGTAGTGCCGGTTATTTTTAGATATATTTTTATCCCGCCTTTTATAGCATATTGTTTGCCTATCTGTATTGACATTTTGGTGTAGAATTGATGAAGAGGTATTGAATATCTATTTTCTGCCTGATTTGGTGTCCGTCTCGTTTCTGTTTTGCCATTTTGATTGCCTATCTGTATTGACATTTGGGTGTTGAATTGATGAAGAGGTATTGAATTTCTACTTTTTGCCTGGTTTTAGACTTTTATGGCGTAAGAATACAACAAGTCAAGAAGCGTTGTTTTGTTTTTGCACTAACACGGTCATGATATTCTGTCCCCAGTCTGCTATGAATATCAGTGAATTGAAATTTTGGTGGTCAACCCTTATACAAGTTCAGTACTCTGATGATCCCATAATGTCATACTAGCTGTGCTGTAAAGGGAAGTTCTCGACCAAATTTAATGAATGGGCTACTGCATGTAGAACACCAGTGATTCAACATTGGAGAAATTAATAGTGGTCTGCCTCCAAATATATTGGATAATCAACCATCTAAAAAAAATAAACAACTCCCGGTTAGGCATGGGCAAGGGAACTTTTCGTGAATTATTGACAACAGTCTAAAACCCCTCCTGCACATTGAAGATTAGGGGGTTGTGGGTGTTGGAGACTACGCGACTTGATGTAATAACAGACCCTTGTTATTTCATGTGTGTAATAGCTAATCGTGAAAATCTATTTGTTATACCGACTTGGCTGATGAAGAAATGTGGTTTAACATCCATCGACACAAAATACGTCATTTTGGGCATAACTTACTTTTAAACTTCATTTCAATAATATGCTTGTGCATTTGGGGTCTTTAGCAGTGGGAGGAAACCAGATGACCCTATGCCCTGGTCACGTACAGCAGGGGTCTGGAATCCACAGCACTTTGACTTTGTGACAGATACTTTCGCCGTGGGAGGAAACCCAGGAGATTGGACAGGCTCTAGTCCTTGTCAATGTCATGTATAATCTATGACCTCATGATGGAATGTGGACGCATTAACCATTTGGTCACCCCCCCCCCACCTCACCTTTCCTTAAAATATGTGACTGGCACTCCCACAGCTGCTTAGGTAGAAATTGGCATCAAAGTGGTTCAAATTACCAGAAATAGATAATCAATTTAGAAAATTGTGAAACTCTATTTTTTTAACAAGTGGGGTATGAAGGATTTTTGCTCGGACAGCAGCGCTATAGGGAACTTATTTAGTATTTCAATTGTTTTGGGTTGTGTTACGCGCAAGCAAATGCGTACATAGGACCTAGGTTTCTCATCCCCTCTGACTATATGTTGTCCTTTGTCAGGTCATCCATCATCCTTACACTTTTCAAAAGGGAAGAACCAAGCTGGAAAATTTGATAATTTCTCAACTAATATGGGGATTGACTATTGGACCTAGAGGTTAGCGAGTTGTTGTCTAGGGTGTGCATTCAAATGTAAAAGACTTGAAATAATATAAATGGTCCAAAAAGAGCATCAAACTTTGAAAAAAATTGAAAAATCATTAAATTACTGAAAATGCTCTTCTATTTTTCTTTTTATTCAAAATTGCGCAATAGATGTTTCTGAATCTTAACGCCACGTTTTAAAACTATCCCGAAATTGATACATAAACTGGAAGTAGTCGATAAGATTTCCGATATTTTGAAAAAAATGCAAAAAAATGAAGATTTATGCCAAAAACACGATTTCTTCGTTGGATATTACCAGATCAAAAGTGCTAAAGTATCGTTCGATAGCCCAGTGAATAGACTTTTGTATGCCTTCTTCGGGTCTGTTGTCTGAAAGCCGATTCAGCACTGCCATGCAGGTCTAGTTATTATTATTATCATAATACTGTTCAACGTCGCCCACTTCGACACAAGGCTGCGTTGCCGTTAAAATTTAGAAATCCACATTTGTGTATTGTAGAAATTAGTGGATGTGTCCCAAAATGAATAGTGGAAACATGCTCTGAAGTCTGAAATTGAACATTCTGTAGCCATTTTCTGTGACCTGTTGGAAAATGGCACCTTAAAGAGACAATACAACAAATATGTTACAGGGACAATATGACAACACCAAATATACAATAAATACAAATATACACTTATATTATATACAGTACCACATGGTACAAATGAATCAAAATGATGGCTATGGCTATGATGAAAATGTATAAAAGTCAAAAAATTTATTTCTCTAATTAAATTTGCAAAAAAATGTATCACGAAAGCTTATTTTCAGCACTTTTCAATAAGCTGTATATTTTAATTATGTTGCATTCCGGTCATTCTTTTTACACCTATTGATACTATGTGCTTAGCACTTCAAAACCATCCGAAGAAATTCTACTTGCGACCATCAAAGAAAAAGTTAGTGTATCTTTTTCTGTACTATAGGGACAGTGTGAATATGGTAACCTAAAACAAGTCCAGGACCTTTTGCGATTTTTACCTGGGGCCTATTTCACAAATTTTAACTAAGATAAAATCCAAATTTTAGTAATTTGATTGGATAATATTAGATTGATTTTAGTGCTTTAGTTAAGATTTCGAGAAACAGGGCCCTGTTCTTATCGAGGATATACTCTTAACCGATACATTTATTCATAGATACATTATAAGGAAATATTAATCAGTATTCAGATATTAATATGTGATAGACATAGTTCAAATAAGTTATAAGTAGTGTAATATGTTATGTATGAGGCAGTGTATGTAAACTCTTTATAGAACACTTGATATCACGTTTTATTTTGCTAATAATTGGCTTACCGAAAGTACTTAGTAGGCACTGCATTTATGTCATATTATATTTAATAATTAGCTGGTACATTTCAATATTATATTAAATTTTTTTAAATTTTAGCCGAAGCGGAAACCTATCTTCATGTGACAGCTTCAGAAAACTTTGTTAAAACACGTGCTTGCCAAGAAGGGGAGCGGATATTCAGTACACATTTTGTTCTGGGTATTATTGGAGCTGTCGGCGACGGCAAGACGATAATGTCACGGATGGTAGCCAACAACTTCTGGCAAGAAAACAAAGACTTTATTCCTCTCGTAATTAAATCACCTAATGATATGTACTCCTTTTCATGTTCAGAGAACAACAAATACTTATTGATAGCGGATGATTTGTTTGGTATCTGGACACGAACAATGAAACAACAAATACAAGAGTGACAACAAAACACATACTTATGGAAAACAGCTACTAGTGTATTTAAGGCGACGTTTCGTAGAGTATTCTCTCAACGTTATCAAGCTAATACAGTAAAACAGGTATGAGGCAAATATATATAGACAAAATACAACAACATAACCGAAACCATACATAGCAACAACATGATCAAAGGCCTACATCAACACTTATTGGGGGCTTGAGACGCAGACCTTTGGGGATGATGTTGCTGTCTCTGCATCGCATCAGAAAAGTAAGATTGCACTTGGACTTAACATATTTACCTCCTAATCTATTAACTGTATTGTCTATATATATTTGCCTCATACCTGTTTTACTGTATTAGCTTGATAACGTTGAGAGAATACTCTACGAAACGTCACCTTAAATACACTAGTAGCTGTTTTCCATAAGTATGTGTTTTGTTGTCACTCTATCCAGTTACTAAATGCCATTTAAAGAACACAACAAATACAAGATTGACCAAAACATTTCGAATTTGTTTACCTGAAATGGCCATTTCAGACATAGTCTACATCCGAAGGTCGCCCAGGCAAAATTGTCCTTGTAGCACACTGTATGATGTATTCTCGTCTTCATTAGTTTGTACTGTAGCACACTGTATTACTGTATTACATCATCAGCTATTATTGTCATATTGTCAGTGTAGGCTATGTATTGTAGTACACTGTATGACATCATCAGCTATTATTGTCATATTGTCAGTGTAGGCTATGTATTGTAGTACACTGTATGACATCATCAGCTATTATTGTCATATTGTCAGTGTAGGCTATGTATTGTAGTACACTGTATGACATCATCAGCTATTATTGTCATATTGTCAGTGTAGGCTATGTATTGTAGTACACTGTATTACATCATCAGCTATTATTGTCATATTGTCAGTGTTTGTATTGTACTACTTTTTGTAGCACACTGTATTACTGTATTACATCATCAGCTATTATTGTTATATTGTCAGTGTTTGTATTGTGATCGTATCATGTATATTTCACCTGTTTTACTCATCTACTCAATGAACACCAGTGATCAATTAACATTTCTGACTTCAGAACCATTTTGTGCTAAATTAATTATCTCCCTTGGATTGTGTATCAGGTGGCTTATAAAAGAAACGATAATATATTTGTACATTGAGTGTTTTAAAGATAAAATTAACACTATTTGCGTGGTGGACCTGAAATTAAGAGTGAAGTTGTCAAATATCCATATTGTACTACATGTAAAATATTAATAAAATAGGTAAAATACTTTGTAGATTATTCCACTTTAAATAGTGTACAGTTTTTTTTTCTGGGTCACCCGATATATATATTTTTATATTGACTGTTTTAAGATAAAATTAATATTTCTTTCATATTTTTATAGCTTAGAGGTGATAGGAACGCTGTGTTATATATTTTTATATCGAGTTTTTAAAGAATTAAATAATATATGTTATGGTAATCGTTATATTATGTGTATTTTTATAGCGAATGTCTCGATTCAAGTATTAAGTGGATTGGGCGTGACAGACCAATGGTGACCTTAATGACCTACTCAGAAGTGGGTTAATTCCCCAAATATTGTCACCAGGGGGTCCCAGGGTACAGTTTAATACTCATTTTGTGCCTTTACTGAAGTTATGTACTGAGCTATACATATAAGGGAGCCAAGCCTTTAATTCAATATCATCCACAGTCTTCAACATTGCAAACACGACTTATTGGTCAATTTAAATCAACATTGATGTTGTTATCTTACCGTGAAAAGTAAGGCTTCTGATATCCAACATTTAAAACAAAATTAAAATTTTAAAATGCTTTCGATTGCAAGTTGTATGGAGCGACTTGATGAACGAGGCTAAACATATGTCATGTAGGAGAATACTATCGGTGTAGACTAGAATAACAAGACACCAAAAACTGCCATTCAATTCGAACTCTTCGCGTATTTCGCCGAACATAACTGATTAGAAATTACAGTAAAAAGAGAAACGATTGAATGTAAATCAATTTTTATACATTCATATAACATTATCATATGCATTACGACCTATTTGTATCTATTTCTAGGTGCCAAAGAATAGCGATTTTTTTTAGCTCCTTTAAGGTGGATGGGCGTGGCCGATCATTGGTGACCTGGGATTAGTCTCCCAAACTGAATAATAATGATGTTGCCAAGGGGGGGGGGGGGGTGTACCAAGATATTGCTGTATACCCATTTTGAACTGAGTTGTGCTGAGCGTGAAGGAACAGTTTAATACCCCTGTTGTGCATGTACTGCACTAAGGTAGATTGCGCGTGGCCGAGGAATGTGACCTTTGACCTACTCAGAAGTAGGTTAATTTCCCAAATTGACTACCCAGAAGAATTTATATTGTCATTGGGCATCCTAAGTAACAACATTTTGAAACATTTTTCATTGCATGATGTAGGCCTACTTGTGATGTGTTATAAAATTCATTTAGGCGGTAACGTGAACAGCGCCCCCTGGTGGTGTCCCCTAAAGTATAACTTTAGAGTTGCTTTTTGGGGTGTCCCGATCACACATCTACTAATTCCAACCCGGAAACATTTTTTACTCGAGATGCTAATTAAAACGGTGGTGTTGAGTGGTCAAATGGTTAACGCATTGGACCAGGTCTGTCCTTAAGTCAAGGGAGAGAGAGAGAGATAAATGGGGTTTAACGTCCACTCGACACAAACTAGGTCATTTCGGGACTAACATATGGTTCAATTTTATATCAATAATACACTTGCTTGTAGGGGTCTTAAGTAGTGGGAGTAAACAGGAGGACCCTGAGAAAACCCATGAGGTTGGACAGGCGATCATGAAACTATTCAATTGTTTTCGGACTAGTTTCATTATGAATAACAGGGAGATTTCGATTTGACAGTTTTTACGTATTTTAGAAACAGGTTTCGAAGTGTTTTGGTTCTGTTATATATGCAAGATCTTTTCCGATGTTTCAAAGTAAATGTGCGGTGCTAAGATGGACCCCCCCCCCCCCCCACACACACACACACACACACACACTGAGGCTCCGGTTTATAATGTGTTTTCTTTCTAAATATAAAACCTTTGCTACGAGGCGAATATACCCCCACCCCCACATTAAACCACTTAGGCCTAATCAAAGTAACAGAGCAACCAGTACCACCTTCACGGAAACGGAATTCCATTTATCCGAACAGAATGTCAAAATACTGTGTAGGACCTGTATTTTATAAATTGTATACTTCATTTAATAGTTTTTATTTAAGAGGACATGTGTGATAACACCAGATGTTGTAATAAAACCATCCTCACTTCTAATCCAGATGCATCTGAAAAACAAATGAAATGAACTGTTTCAATGGCATTTAGTAATTGAACTAGAGTATACAGGTCACAATTCTATGGAATACAGTTATTGCTTTTTACTGAGCGACGTTTCGACTAGGCTTCTCTAGTCATTATCAAGCTATGACTAGAGAAGCCTAGTCGAAACGTCGCTCAGTAAAAAGCAGTAATTGTATTCCATAGAATTGTGACCTGTATAAATGAAATGAAATGAAATGAGGTTTAACGTCCTACTGTTCTGCTCCTAAACTGGGCTAATGAAGACGGGCATACACCATACAGTGTGCTATGAGGGAAATTTTGCCCGGGCAGCGGCACTACGGCCTACTCTTATATCGAATCCCAACTGCTAGGAGTGTAAAATGTATTAATTTCATATTTAAACATGCATTATGCAAGAGCTAAATCTGATTATTGCAAGTCTTAATTTAGGCTTCAGATTTTATAGAAATTATAAATTAGATCTTTATTTAAACAGCAAGACCAAAATCAACTCTGTAGACCCACGGATGGCTCGGCTACAGCTCGGATTTAAATAGGATTTCACTAATTGATTAAATCAGATATGGGGTAACCTGATGAAAATACGCCAGTTAGATCGAGGCTAAATGATAGAGTGTACTTAGCGAGGCGGCTGTAAAGCGTTTCCGTATGCCATTGAAAACTTTACTTGATAATCGAGATATGTAGGTGGAGTTAACGCCTGTCAATCAAACGTTCGGCAACGGTGAAGACACATTTCGCTACCATTTCTAGGCAAATATTACAACGATGATAACTATGTTCAGAATAAAGTAATTTGACTGAATTTTTCAATATATTCTTCTTTCATCATCTACTTTTGAACTGTTATAGCAAGAATGACCAACTCTCTATAAATATCTCCCATAATGTATCTTTAACGTAAATTTTAATTTAAAGTCATATCTCATTATAGTAGATGCATGCCGAAATAGATATAAATATATGTTTGATTGTTCCGTTTTTACATGTGAACGTAAAATACTACTTAACGACAGTTACGATTAAAACTAATAATGTTTGTTCTCTTAAACGGAACAATCCACATTCTTTATATGACCTTACAACCTATCTTTTGTTATGGTGGAAATATGCATCTACTGCTTGTAATTAAAACATTGCTAATTATCGGTTGCATAGAACAAAACCCTGGTCCGTTTAATACATTAAGTACAGGTAATATTTCCATTGTCCACAATAATGTGTGCAGTTTATTGCCAAATTTAGATATAATTGAAGCTGAATTCTCCAACTACGATATAGTATCATTATTATTATCATTGTTCGATTTATATAGCGCTTCATTACACGTGAAGTGTTTCTAAGCGCATATCACAAACATATACTTCAAACACACAGAAACAATCAAAATCAGGAGAACATAATTAAACACAGCTGCCTGTTAGGCGCTATTATTCAAAGGTTTATATCAAACAAATCAACCGGCTAATCTCAATATTGAACTCAGTCGAGGTATTACCTGATGAACACCTACACCAAGTAGAGTTCAAAAATAAAAACGAAGTTTAAAAGAATCAACTTCATTAACCAAAATTAAACAATCAAAAACTAAACAGATAAATCAAATTCAAACGAAACAAATAAAACAAAGAAAATGAAAAGAGCAGTTCGTTACCATTCTACATTAACAAAATAAAGGAAATCAACTTGTGAAAATTTTTTCAAAAAATAAGAGCAAAGTAACACTAATGTTAATAATTATCAAAAGGAACCAAGATCTTAATGATAAAAACATATATTTAAAGTTTCATCCAAATTGGATAAAAACTGTGGTCTCTAGAGGGTCCACAACCTTGATATACCATATCTATCTATGTATTACTGAATCCCATCTAGACAATTCTATTAAAGATTCGGCGATTTTATTGCCTGGTTATAGAAGTCCTATTTTGCCTCGATTTCAAAATTAAATGGTGTACCTGACCTCCCAAATTTTGCTTCTCGTAGTAACAACGAATTACATCAATTTATTGTAAGTGAACAAGAAGTAAGAGACCAGCTACTAATTCTTAACTGTTCAAAGCCTTCTGGTCCCGATAACATCAGCCCAGCTGTGCTAAAAAAGATAACTCTGTCAATCACAAAACCTCTCACTAAATTTTTTAATCTTTCATTAGAACGCCAATTATTACCTGATATTTGGAAGACTTCTCATATCATTGCAGCGTATAAAGGAAAGGGTGATCCGCATTTCCCTGACAACTAGAGACCAATTAACATGCTCATTATGTAAAATACTAGAGAAAATCTTATTCAAAAATCTTTATAATTTTATAAAAGAAAATAAACTGCTGTATAAGTATCAGTCTGGCTTTCAACCAAACGATTCCACAATAAATCAACTTTTAGAAATTTATGATGTTATAATAAGTAATCTTGATATAGGAAAGCAAATTCGATTTATATTTTGTGATGTATCAAAAGCGTTTGATAAAGTTTGGCATATGGGTTTATTGTCTAAATTAAAACAATATGGAATTAATCAAATACTATGTAAATGGATTGAACACTATTTAAGTAATAGACAACAATGTGTAGTTTTAATTTATTTAAATGATATCTCTGATAATATAACTAACAACATAAGGCTATTCGCCGATGATACTTCACTTTTTACCATTATTCATAATGATCCTCTAAGTAGAACACTATAAATAAAGATCTTGATATTATCTCATCGTGGGCTAAACAGTGGTGTGTAACTTTTAACCCAAATAAAACCAAAAATATTATTTTTACTAGAAAAAATACAATTCATCCAGACGTTACCTTCGAAAATACAAAAGTTGAAAATGTAAATACTCATTGTCATTTATGGGATTAACATTTCAGTCTAATGCATTATGGTCAAATCATATTTCAAATATATACCAGAAAGCTTGCGGTCGTCTAAATATTTTGCGTATACTGAATTATAAAATTAATAGAATTTCACTTAATAAAATATATCTTGATTTTATTCGCCCTATTTTAGAATATGCTGATATTGTATGGGATAACTGCTCAATGAAAGATTCTGACCTACTAGAAAGTGTCCAAACTGAAGCG